CGGTTGGCAACCCCCCTGAACACTATTAATATTTCAATACCCCCCCCCCCACACACACACACTTTTTTACACCACACATTTATTATTCTATATTTAAATTTAGACATTTCCGTAAAACAAATGTAAATCTTGCGCACCAAGCGCACTTGCAGTATTATTCAATGTACTGAAGCCAATGTCATAAAGAATTATGTAAATTGAGAACTGGGCCGGTTGGGGGGGGGTGGGTGTTGGCGCTAGATTATAATCTCATGACATTCCCATGTATTTCACATTGCATGACAGAGCCATCACAGCAACAGACAAAACCACAGCCACCCGGGGTGGAAGAGGCGACAGCGGCAGCCATCAATGTGAGGTTAAAGCCAACATCAGGGAAGTGGAGCAACATCTACACCGAAGGTAATTACCCTGGTGATAATAGGGGGGGGGGTTAACAGAGATGTTGCAAGATGAAATGATGTACATGCTATGTACACTAAATTTTAAGGATTTAAAATGAACAAAAATTGTTGAAAACGGATTGTACATGAAAAGGGAGATAATTCTACAGAAACAATTTGTTCTTATTCTTTTTAATTTTTTATTTTTTACCCGGATATTGCATGTAGCAATCATTCAAAAGTTCATTCAAAGGTTCATTCAAAGGTTCATTCAAAGGTTCATTCAAAGGTTCATTCAAAGGTTCATTCAAAGGTTCATTCAAAGGTTCATTCAAAGGTTCATTCAAAGGTTCATTCAAAGGTTCATTCAATCCTATCTGTGCATATTTTCTCAGCAAGATCGAGATCCTCCTCTAGAAAAAAAACAACAGTACCCCCCCCCCACCCCCCAACACCCCTTGTGCTACATAGTAATTATTACTACACCTCACACACACATTCTGCAACCCCCCCTCCCACACATATATCATTCAATTCTATCTGTTGGTATTGTCTCACTTATTAAATTCATTCCTATCTGTTGGTACTGTCTCACTTATTAAATTCATTCCTATCTGTTGGTACTGTCTCACTTATTAAATTCATTCCTATCTGTTGGTACTGCCTCACTTATTAAATTCATTCCTATCTGTTGGTACTGTCTCGCTTATTAAATTCATTCCTATCTGTTGGTACTGTCTCGCTTATTAAATTCATTCCTATCTGTTGGTACTGTCTCACTTATTAAATTCATTCCTATCTGTTGGTACTGTCTCACTTATTAAATTCATTCCTATCTGTTGGTACTGTCTCACTTATTAAATTCATTCCTATCTGTTGGTATTGTCTCACTTATTAAATTCATTCCTATCTGTTGGTACTGTCTCACTTATTAAATTCATTCCTATCTGTTGGTATTGTCTCACTTATTAAATTCATTCCTATCTGTTGGTACTGTCTCACTTATTAAGTTTAGTCCTATCTGTTGGTACTGTCTCACTTATTAAATTCATTCCTATCTGTTGGTACTGTCTCACTTATTAAATTCATTTCTATCTGTTGGTACTGTCTCACTTATTAAATTCATTCCTATCTGTTGGTACTGTCTCACTTATTAAATTCATTCCTATCTGTTGGTACTGTCTCACTTATTAAATTCATTCCTATCTGTTGGTACTGTCTCACTTTTTAAATTCATTCCTATCTGTTGGTACTGTCTCACTTATTAAATTTAGTCCTATCTGTTGGTACTGTCTCACTTATTAAATTCATTCCTATCTGTTGGTATTGTCTCACTTATTTCATCCAATCATTTCTATCCACACTCAATAAAACAGAGGAAGCAACTCTTCCACCGCCGCCACCGCCTGACGAATTAGACGAGTTACCTCCTCCACCACCCCCACCTGAGCTGATGGGTCACGACCTCGCCCCTGGCGCCTGCCCCTACCCATCCCACCCACCCCACTTGGCGGCCGCAGCCCCACTGCCGCCCCACCCACCTCGGCAGCCCCCCCTATTGGCAGGTGAGGTGAATTCCTGCCAGCCACATCATCCACCAGGCCGGCCTGCTCCCAACTCCGCACCAATGAGCAACAGCAGCACGCAGGAGAGTTCCAGCACTGCTAAACACACGGCCAACGGTGCTGCTGGGAATTACACAGCGGAGAATTTTAACTCTGGTTTAGGTGAGTTTTCTTATTGTTCATAATAATGTTAAACCAAATTAATTTAACTCTCTCCTTCTTTGTTTAATAAGAATTTTTTATTTAACAGGTTTTTTTTTTTTAATTGTTTTTTTTTTATATTTTGTGACCCAGAAAGTAATTTGGATCGATTAAAATAGGAATTCGAAGTCTTGAAAAAATTCAAACGAAATCCTTCTTACAAATGACTAATAAATCTCTGATTTTTTTTTAATTTAAATTTTTATTTTACACACACACACACACATATATATATATTAATTATTAAATTGACCAGTTGCCAATAAGATCTGTGATACATTTTTGAAGAACTAATTTTCAAAGTACATTCTGATGGTATTTCAAACCATGCATTCAACATGACCTAAGACTTATTTTTTTAAGATCATTAATTAATTATTATTTTTTTGGGGGGGAGGGGGGTGGTGCAGTCAGATGTTGGGGGGTTGAGTTGGTCAACAGTTCATGTCACATAAGTCCTATATGTGTCATTTATGTCAAAGATGTGTAAAAGTCACCTCGCTATGTCATATTATGTCTGCTACATATTTGAATGATCGCCAGAATATGTCATTAATTGTTAGGGGTTAGTTAGCACTACCCAAGCTGCACCAAAGGGAGGTAACTGTATCACTCTTGTTGGTGTATTTGGAATGTCACAAAGACTGGGCCTTGACATTATAAGAAATGAGCAATGCTGTTTACACCTTCAACTTCCGGTTGGAATATGTATACAATCACAAGCCCTTTGAATTGATTAGCAGTAGGCTACATGTCTCCAATTGCAGTAGACTACATGTCTCCAATTGCATTAGGCTACATGTCTCCAATTGCATTAGGCTACATGTCTCCAATTGCAGTAGGCTACATGTCTCCAATTGCAGTAGGCTCCATGTCTCCAATTGCATTAGGCTACATGTCTCCAATTGCAGTAGGCTCCATGTCTCCAATTGCAGTAGGCTCCATGTCTCCAATTGCATTAGGCTCCATGTCTCCAATTGCAGCAGGCTCCATGTCTCCAATTGCAGCAGGCTCCATGTCTCCAATTGCAGCAGGCTCCATGTCTCCAATTGCAGCAGGCTACATGTCTCCAATTGCAGCAGTCTACATGTCTCCAATTGCAGTAGGCTACATGTCTTTAATTTTTGAAGGTTGAGTCCCAACACTGGGATAAATGTGTTTTAAAACTGTTTGGCGTTCAGCTACACACGTACCCCCACCACGCACCCACACGTCCCCCACACACCAAACATTTATTTTGAGACTTTACCTTTTGGGCAAGACGTTTGGCTTGGGC